CGAGTCATCCTGGGTATATATGATCTCAGATGGAGTGATGTTCTGGAGAAGGGTACAGCCAGAGTGAAGTTGCTGCTTTCTGCCCGTCTTGTGGCATAAAAGCTTGTTTCACGTTGTCCTCGAAGTGGATCCAAGTGTGGTACTTTGACAATATTGGCCTTGCACATAACAGTAAGGCCACCCACATCCCTCCTGTGTTGAAGGCTCTGCTGAAATGACAGATCTATCCAGGATGGGTCCAGGCGAGAGATGAGACGTCTTGCTCTGTTCTCTACTCTGTCAAGCAGTCGCAGATGAGAGAGAGAGGGGGGGGGGAGGCAAACCAAGAAAGTGGAGCATACTCAAGGTGTGAGCATACTTGTGCCTCGTACAGAATCTTGCAACCCCTACTGTCAAGCAGATGTGAGATACGGCGAAGTGCTGTAAGCTTCCTGGCTGCCTTGTTTGCAAGATTTACAACATGGTTCTTCATGGTTAGTTTGGAGTCAAATTTCACCCCAAGGATATCAACTTCTCCAGGTGCCAACACCCTCCCATTCATCCTTACTACTGCACCAGCATTACCATCATGGTGCCTAGAGACCATCATCATTTGCATTTTCTCAGGTGCAAATGTTACTTGCCATCTATTTTCCAAAGCAGATATAGCTCTTAGCTGGTGATTGATGTAGTTTAGAGCAGCTGGCATTTCTTCTCTTGGATAAGTGAATGTCAGTGTACAGTCGTCTGCATATGCATGGGATTCTGGGATGAGATGAAGAAGGTCGTTGAAGTAGACATTCCATAACAATGGTCCCAGTACGCTTCCTTGTGGAACACTTGCCCCAATAGGATGTCTTGTTGATTCCATTCCATTGAGAACTACCCTTAGAGATCTACCATGAAGGTAATCACTGAGGAGACATAGTGTAGAGCCTGCAGTTCCCAGTGCTTGAAGTTTTGCTAAGAGGCCCTGGTGCCACACCTGGTCGAAAGCACCGGCAATGTCCAGTGCTACCACAGTTGACTTTGGATTCATCCAGTGACTGGTGCCACTTAGTGGAGAGGTTTAACAACAGATCAGCAGCAGAGTAACATTTCCTGAAGCCATATTGACAATCACAGTGTAGTGAGTGGTAATCAAAAAACTCTGTCATTTGTCTTGAGATTGTCTCAGGGATCTTACCAGTGATTGACAGGAGTGACACTGGTCTGTAGTTGCTGATTTCTGCCTGCTCTTCTTTTTGTGAACAGGGACTACATTTGCCTCTTTCCACAGAGAGGGCCATTTACACTGTACTAGGCAGTGCTGTTAGAGGTGCTGCTAGCTGGTCTGCACATCTCAGCAGTCTTGGGCTCAACTTGTCTGGGCCCACAGCCTTTTCATGGTCAAGCAATTTAAGAAGGAAATGCACCTCCTCCTGCCTTATTGTCACCACTGACAGTTTTGACACAGTTCTTGCAGCTAGCCAAGGAGGGTCTCTTGCTGGATCAGGAACTTGCATTTTGGTAGCAAAGTGTTCAGCAATGAGGTCTGCCTTCTATTGATTACTAGTAGAGGTGGTCCCATCCTGTCGATTTAGAGGTGGAATGAGTTCATCAGGCATATAACCTTGTCTGTCCTTGACCAGGGACCACCTGGGCCATCTGCTTGATGAACTTGCTATCAAAATGCAAGTTCCTGATCCAGCAAGAGACCCTCCTTGGCTAGCTGCAAGAACTGTGTCAAAACTGTCAGTGGTGACAATAAGGCAGGAGGAGGTGCATTTCCTTCTTAAATCGCTTGACCAAGAAAAGGCTGTGGGCCCAGACAAGTTGAGCCCAAGATTGCTGAGATGATGTGCAGACCAGCTAGCAGCACCTCTAACTCGCATCTTTCAGCAAGTAAAGTACAGTACATATTAACAGCCTTAAATATCTACAGATTGAGCTTGGGCCATGGTTAGGATTTGTAAGCTCGGTCAAACAGACAGAGGAGCTTACATATAGACAGAGCTGGTACAGTACTACTAGTGCTGTACCAGCAAGAAGTGACTGATGGTTCACTACAATATTTATGAAAATGGGGACTTTTAAGGTACAAGTAGCAATAGCCTGGCTGACCAAGTTGGGCCTCAGGATGGACTGTAACAACAGAAAAACTAACAGTTGCAAATATGCTAAGCCACAGTGAGTTTATCATTCACCATCACTCCATATAAGAACCCTTGTAACACTTAGAGCCATTAATTTTTATGCAACAAAATTCATTGGGATTCCTATAGTACAGGACTTTTATTAGTAATGTGAACTTGGGTAATCGAATAAAGTGAGTGAAGGTAATAAACTAAAGTTAAGTAATGTAGTAGTTAGTAGTGCCATGATATTTTATTAGTAGTATATTTCTTATATTAAATTTAAATATCCAAGTCAGACTGAACATCTTATGAAAATAATTGAATATGTGATATAAAAGTGCTCTAACATATTAATCTTCATTGCTAAATGATTAGTATATATTATATATTATATATATATAATATATAAATTTTATATATATATATAATATATATAATATATATATATATATATATATATAAAATATATATATATTATTATATACATATATAAAATATTTATATTTATTTATTTATTTATTTATTTATTTTATTTATCTCTCTCTCAACACATCGGCCGTATCCCACCGAGGCAGGGTGGCCCAAAAGGAAAAGCTAAAGTTTCTCCTTTTACATTTAGTAATATACGTATACAGGAGAAAGGGTTACTAGCCCCATGCTCCCGGCATTTTAGTTGCCTCTTACAACACGCATGGCTTACGGAGGAAGAATTCTGTTCCACTTTCCCATGGAGATAAGAGGAAATAAACAAGAACAAGAACTAGAAAGAAAATAGAAGAAAACCCAGAGGGGTGTGTGTGTATATATGTGCTTGTACATGTATGTGTAGTGTGACCTAAGTGTAAGTAGAAGTAGCAAGATGTACCTGAAATCTTGCTTGTTCATGAGACAGAAAGAAGGGCACCAGCAATCCTACCATCATGTAAAACAATTACAGGCTTTCATTTTACACTCACTTGGAAGGACGGTAGTACCTCCCTGGGCGGTTGCTGTCTACCAACCTACTACCTATAATATATATATTTATATATTTATTTTTTATTCTAAAGAAAAGTTGCAAAGGTTAGTGGACGAGTTTAGGAGGGTGTGTAAAGTTAGAAAGTTGAAAGTGAACATAGATAAGAATAAGGTGATGAGGGTATCAAATGATTGAGATAAAGAAAAATTGGGTATCACATTGGAGAGAGGGAGTATGGAAGAAGTGAATGTTTTCAGATGTATTTGGGAGCTGATGTGTCAGTGGATGGGTTTATGAAGGATGAGGTTAACCATAGAATTGATGAAGGAAAAAAGGTGAGTGGTGCATTGAGGTATATGTGGAGACAAAAAACGTTATCTATGGAGGTAAAGAAGAGAATGTATGAAAGTTTAGTGATACCAACTCGCTTATATGAGTGTGAAGCTTGGGTTGTAAATGCTGCAGCGAGGAGGCGGTTGGAGGCAGTGGAGATGTCCTGTCTAAGTGTGGTGTAAATATGCAGAAAATTCGGATGGAAATTAGGAGAAGGTGTGGAGTTAATAAAAGTATTAGTCAGAAGGCTGAAGAGGGGTTGTTGAGGTAGTTTGGTATTTTAGAGAGAATGCATCAAAGTAGAATGACATGGAGAATGTATAAATCTGTAGGGGAAGGAAGGCGGGGTAGGGGTCGTCCTCAAAAAGGTTGGAGGGAGGGGGTAAAGGAGGTTTTGTGGGTGAGGGGCTTGGACTTCCAGCAAGCATGCATGAGTGTGTTAGATAGGAGTGAATGGAGACGAATGGTATTTGGGACCTGACGATCTGTTGGAGTGTGAGCAGGGTAATATTTAGTGAAAGGATTCAGGGAAACCGGTTATTTTTATATAGCCGGACTTGAGTCCTGGGAATGGGAAGTACAATGCCTGCACTTTAAAGGAGGGGTTTGGGATATTGGCTGTTTGGAGGGGATATGTTATATATCTTTATACAGTGGACACCCGGTTTACGATCAGCTCCCAATGCGACCAATTATGTAAGTGCGTTTGTATGTATATGTTTGGGGGTCTGAAATGGACTAATCTAATTCACAATATTCCTTACGGGAACAAATTCGGTCAGTACTGGCACCTGAACATACTTCTGGAATGAAATAATATCGTAAACCGGGGGTCCACTGTATATGCTTCTAAACTGTTGTGTCTGGGCACCTCTGCAAAAACAGTGATTATGTATGAGTGAGGTGAAAGTGTTGAATGATGATGAAAGTATTTTCTTTATGAGGATTTTCTTTCTTTTTGGGTCACCCTGCTTCGGTGGGAGGCAGCTGACTTGTTGAAAAAATAATATGCATTTATATGTATATATAATATTGAAATGCCTGTATAGCATAACAAGGTACGTGTATTCTTTTTAACTTTTTTTTTTTTTCCAGCTCATACTTACACTTTTTCTATCACTGTACAGTAAACCCATGATATATTGTATATTGATATAACAAACTTCTAAAATAATTTAAAATTCAGTGGATAAATTATACTTGTAGCTAATTTATTTTCAATGTTTATTACAATATATGTAATTATAAATTGTGTACCATATTATAGTATTAGGTATGCAGTACATTACAAGTACAGTATTCTGATTTAAGGAATGCTTTGATAGTTCTCTTGTAGTCTGTCATATCGAGGGTTTACTGATATAAAATATTTGAAAATAACAGAAGCACTGCCTGTTTTTTTTTATTGTTCACATGACAGCAAAGGAGCAGAACCTATGATTAAAGGTTGTTGATAAAGGCTCCTGTATTGTTCGTCATTAGTTTCCCGAGGTACCATACAACAAATTACCATGTACGATTAACGTACTGTGGAAGACCGTAGTTTATTGCATTAACCTGTAAACTTCACATAAATATGAAAATAAATGTAACACTTTATATAATTGTTTCAGGCTGCCATCCTGCAGCAAACAGCAGAGTATATATACCAGCTTGAGCAGGAGAAGACTCGCCTCTTGTCTCAAAACTGTCAGCTTAAGCGCCATCTGAATCAGCAGCAGCACCATGCAGATGTTGAAGGTGAGGCTTGCTTGTAGTCCAGCCTTGTGTGTTGCTGCTTGTAGTTTTACTCAATTTCTGCATACTCATTTATACAGTATGTACATTTACACCTGTGGCTAGTTTTCTGAGTTATACTCTCACAGCCTGGTCTGGAGCCAGGATTTTCTGTTGATTGCCACTTTATGAAGGTTGGTTGTTGCTGGCAGCCCACTAGACGTATCCATCACAGTAAGGTTGCTGTAACACTTGGCAGAGGTAGTGATTCAGTTTTCTATTGAGAATTTCTACACTTGTTCAAGAAATACTACCATGGTTGCCACGTGTCAGTAAAAAGTCAGGGAGAACGGTTCATTTTTCAAGGTCAGAGAATCAAAAAAGAATTCAGGTACGTATTTTGAAATTTGTCGGGAAACGCTGACTACTTGGTGCCAATTTTACAATGTTAAATAGACAACAAATGTATAATTAGCAATAAGTTTTAAAATAACCAAATCTCTCTTCAGTGTAATAATTTGGAGATGTGGCTTTGACTAAGCCATTATTGAAATGAATTGAATCTGTTACAAAGTCTCACTTGAAATGTAATGTATTGTTTGTTATTTATCTTTTTAGCTTTAGTCTTCACATTCTTTGGATCCAATATCTTTGGCCATTATCCATGACTAGTCATCTTATCCAACAGTGTCCTTGGCAATACCTGAAAATTCGTCACCATGTGAAAAAATGACCATACTCTGAACCCATATTTCTCTAAAGTAGTCGGTTAACTTATCTTTTCTTGCCTCTCTCCATATATACATGACCTAACAAGAAAAGTTTGTAGTGTGTGGTGAGGTCAGTGCTGTCCTTAAGGAATATGTACAACAGCTCTCCAACACAGGCAAAACAGCATTAACATTCTAGCAAATGCTATTATATCAAATAAGAAATCTCAGTTTCCAATAAATCTTCATCAGCAATGTGTTTAAGTCTTGTTCCACGCTTTCAACATCATGTCAGTACCCATATTCATGGTGTCGCAGGCTTGAATCTTACAGCTCAGTCTCCTTTCACACAATTGCTGGATCATTAATGACAAAAGAGTTGTGACTTGGTTATTCTGTAACAAAGTTGCAATTCTGGAACTCTTAGTACTCTTCAGGGCCTTTAGTCTTTTAATCCATCATTTTTCATGTACCCTGGCACCCTTTATTATTAATGCATGTAATTCAAGGCCAAGAGCTGTGGTGCTGGTTTCTAAACTTGTGTTCACTTGGAGGCTAAGTTGCCTGCATTGAGTAGCTAAATATAGCACCTTAGTAGTAGTTTTGCATTGAACTGTATGTCCTTGTGTAGAACATAAGAACAGAGAAGTATTGCAATAGGCCTCCTACCAGTGCTTGGCAGGTCCTTCTCGAATCCATCTCTTCTCACTGATATTTGCTTAACCTATTTTTAAAGGTAACTAAGGTGTTAGCTTTAATGATCCAGATCCATCTACAGTTCTGTTGCTAAACCAGTACTTTCCTATATCATTTCTAAATCTGAATTTATTCAACTGGAAAATATTGTTTAAAGTACTTTCCTGGTTAGCTATCCTCAGCACTCAGTTTCTCTTATTTGTACCTGTCTACATTTGCATATATCAGGTTTGTAGAAACAGGATAAAAGGTGATCCAATAATTTAAGTGGGATGGACATCCATCACAGTTATGCCAGAAGTTGATTAATCACATGTGCATAACTTAGACCTGCATAAGAGGACAACTTTTTTCTGACGAATAAAGGACCACCAAGGAGCAAGGGGCTAGTAATCCCTTCTGTATAAATTATTAAATTTAAAAAAAAAAAAAAATTTTTTTTTTTTTTTAAGATCACCCTGCATCAGTGGGGAACGACCATTGTGCTAGGTTAGGTAAGCTTTGTCGGGAAACAGGACAAGCATCTCCTGACACGGGTCTTAGTCAGGTGATGACCCGCCATTGGAGCTTTTGGTCATCTGACCGAGGCCTTTCACTGGCTTACTGGTCCACCCCTTTAAAAATTATGATCAAAGTTATAACCATTTCTTAATACCATTGTGCTAAAAAAAAATTATCTCGCTTGTTTGCAAAATGACCACTGCCATTTTATTTATAGCTATTGTCTGCTGCTTGTTGAAGCAAGTGATGTTGACAGTGGCTTTTCTTTTACACACACACAGTATGGTATACTGCTGCCTTAGTAAATTAGGTTTGACTGCTATTCCAAGAGCCTGTATATGCTGCCACACAAATAGTCATTTGACTGTGTGGAATAATAAAGTAACAGTTAATTATCATTATTGATCAGCTATTCTAGAATAAATACCACACTGTTTTATGCAGATATTGTTGTATTGATAACCATTATTTTACAATGATATGAACATGAAGCACATTGTTTCACTATTCTTGTTTTACTGTAATTACAGTAATACAGATGCTCAAACTACAATACCAGCAGATTAAAAATGTTTGTGACTGAATTTCCAGTGTAGACTGCTTATTGTTCGATATCTTTGTAATTTTTTCATGTCATCAGTAAAATTGTTTCACTTGCATATTCTTTGCACTTCAAAGTAATTAAGTGTGAAAAAGATATTTTGCTCCATTTGTAAATCTTTTGTTTGTCTAAGGTTATTCTGACTGTACAGTTTGTCAGTGAGTCACCATATTTAAGGAGGTGCATAGGCAATTTGAATATGTTCAGTAGACTAAAATATACATAATTGCATGAAAGCTGTTTAGAAAACCTAAATTTATTCTTTTTTTGTGTGACGATTGAGGGCAGTTTTGCACTGTTAGTGTGCATAGCAAACTTAATTGTGAAAAATATTTTAATAATCTGCAGTCAATGTGTAATAAGGATCTCAGAATTATGGGCAGGCAGAAGATTAGTTGAGTGAAGGAATATAACATGCATAGTGATTGCTTGATTGTCCACTACAAAAGAGGAAGGGGGTTTAGATAATTAAAAGTTTGGTCATTCACTTAAGCAATTTGAGGTGAATGCTGTATACAGTATTTTTAATAACTGATTTGAAAAACACGCATGTATTTAATAATAAAAATAATCAAGCCTCATGAATATAATATATGAAGTGTGATCTCATTAATTTATCATAGTAATATTATTATTGGTTTATATTGCAGGGAGGCTAACAGGCAATGAGAGACCATGTACTGATGGTGGTAGCCATAGAGGAAAAGGTACTTATAAGTCTAAATTACTGTAATATTATTGTAGGAAGTCCAACGGGGGGAGAAAGCCCATGTGATGATGGCGGCAGCAGTGGAGAAGCAGTGGTTGTTAGCACCCAGGTGGATGGGGGTCCTGCCACTGAAGAACTGCGCCGTGAGATGATTGACCTTCGGATGCAACTGGACAGAGAGAGACGCCATCGTATGACTCTTGAAGAGCATATCCGATCGCTTGATGCTCAAACATATCCTGAGCGTATGAAGGAAATCTCAGTAACGGTCAGTTGAAGCGAGTGACAGTGTGATGAAAGACTTTAGTGAAATGTAAATTTAACTAGTTGAATATAATAGAGTAACCTGGTGAATAATCTTTATATGAATCTTTTTCATTTTTTTTCATTATACATTATTTCACATTAAATGTAGCAATGATTTCAGATACATAGTATGGTAGATAATTTTTGATTAGTGCTTAATTATATTTGGGGTAAATTGACTTTTCAACATTACTCTTATTCTTAACTACCAGAGGTGAACAAAGCTATACAGTAAACTGGAGTAAAACTCAGGCTCATGAGTAGTCAGTGAATGAAGACTTTATTTCCTTTAACGCTCAATAAATCTTGGCTTCTAAGTAGTCACATGAACCTTTTCTAGATATTTCAGATACACATTTAATTATTAAGGAATTTGTAATGAATGCTTAATATATGTGCATCCCAGTTCTGGATTTAACAGATTTTGTCGGTCATTTCCGGATTTTATCTGTTGAACCTGTTAAATGGAGGTTTTACTTCTGCGTGGAAATGTTTTTATTTTCTCATCACAGAATCTAATATGTTTACAGCTGAATTTATAGTGAAGCATTGAGTGTTAAACTGCCAATTTTCTCCCTTTGGAGAAAGTGGGCATAGTGCTCTGTCCAGAGAAAATGAAGAGGGCTGATACACTGCCAGTGACTACTATAAATTTAATACACAAACTTATCACTATAAATTCTTTCTGCTTGTAGATGCAGAAGTGTTTGAAGATAGTTATGTAGTTCAGCTGAGCAGTAGACAGCTGTGGGTTATATCTGTTTTATTTGCTGACACCACTTATATAATTTACTGTACAATAGATGACAAGGAGGAATTTTATTCTTCTCTAAATTCCTTGTTCTCTGGCTTGTTGATAAAAGAAGTGTTTACATATGGTTATGTGAGTGAGCTGTGTACAGCTCGGTCACATAGCCATATTTTATCAGCTGACTCTACACTTGTATTTTATCAGCTGATCTCATCACCTATTCTCTATACTGTTTCCTAATTTATAATGGTAAAACACGTTGATTTTTTTGTAGCACTGGCAATATCCCGCCAAGGCAGGGTGACGCAAAAAAAGAAACTCTTTCACTATCACTGTCTTGCCAGAGGTGCACATTTTATCCTTGCTTAAATTCCTTGTTCTCTTGCTTGTTGATAAAAAAAAGTGTATGGAGATGGTTATATGATTACTGAGCTGTAGACAGCTGTGAGACATCTATTCTATCAGCCATGGCAGTCTGTACAAGTTTATGCCACAATTTCTCAACCATCTTACAACAAAAATGTGCTGCATAAATGTGTCATATTCGTGGGTCTCCTATACAGTGGACCCCCGACGTACGATGTCCCGAACCTACGTTACAACTGACCTACGATGCTTTTCAGCATAAAAATTTGACCTCGACCTAGGTTGAAAAACTCGACCTACAGCATTCGTCCGGTACTGCGTCCACATGTCTGTCCATCTGAGCTCACCTCAGCTGGCCTGCCTTCAGTTAGTGTGCCAGTGTTTACAAGCCAGAGCGGTCACTCCCACACATACATTCGGAATATTTTGTATTATGCCAGTGTTTTAGTGCTTCTAACTGCTAAATAAGCCACCATGAGCCCAAAGAAAGCTTCTAGTGCCAACCCTGTGGTAAAAATGGTGAGAAATACTATCGTATCATGGTCAGCTGCTGCTGTAGCACCATCAGTTGCTGCTGCTGCTGCTTTAGCACTGTCAGCTGCTGCTGCTGCTGGCTGTAGCACTGTCAGCTGCTGCTGCTGCTGCTGTAGCACCATCAGTTGCTGCTGCTGTAGCACTGTCAGCTGCTGCTGCTGTAGCACTGTCAGCTGCTGCTGCTGTAGCACTGTCAGCTGCTGCTGCTGCTGTAGCACTGTCAGCTGCTGCTGCTGTAGCACTGTCAGCTGCTGCTGCCTGTAGCACTGTCAGCTGCTGCTGCTGTAGCACTGTCAGCTGCGCTGCTGCTGTAGCACTCAGCTGCTGCTGCTGTGTACACGTCAGCTGCTGCTGCTGCTGTAGCACTGTCAGCTGCTGCTGCTGCTGTAGCACTGTCAGCTGCTGCTGTAGCACTGTCAGCTGCTGGCTGCTGGCTGAGCACTGTCAGCTGCTGCTGCTGCTGAGCACATGTCAGCTGCTGCAGCTGCTGTAGCACGTCACTGCTGCTGCTGTAGCACTGTCACTGCTGCTGCTGCTGTAGCACTGTCAGCTGCTGCTGCTGTAGTACCATCAGCTGCTGCTGCTGTAGCACTGTCAGCTGCTGCTGCAGCACCATCAGCTGCAGCTGCTGTAGCACCATCAGCTGCTGCTGTAGCACTGTCTGCTGCTGCTGTAGCACCGTCAGCTGCTGCTGCTGTAGCACCGTCAACTGCTGTAGCACAGTCTGCTGCTGTAGCACCGTCAGCTGCTACTGCTGTTGCACCGTCAGCTGCTGCTGCAGCACCGTTGTTGGTGTGGCTTATCAAGAATACTGAGAAACAATTAACCCCAGAGGGTTAGCCACCCAGGATAACCCAAAAAAGTCAGTGTGTCATGAGGACTGTCTCTTATTCTTGGGTCCTTATTGTAGGATGTGACCCACACCAATCGGCTAGCACCTAGGTGAACAGGAAAAAATGCTTGGAACTAGTGCTCATATTGGTGAATTTAAGGCCAGCAAAGGTTGGTTTGAGAGATTTAAGAATCATAGTGGCATACATAGTGTGATAAGGCCTGTTCTGGAAGAAAATGCCAAACAGGACTTACATTACTCAGGAGGAAAAGGCACTCCCAGGACAGTGTCTCATCAGTCATTGCTACATCTTCAATAAAGGTAAGTGTCATTTATTCTTCATTTAGTAGAGTAGTACATGCACAATATATATTGTGCATGTACTACTCTACTCTTGTGCATGTATCTTTTTTTGTGTAGGAAAATGTATATTTCATGTGGTAAATTTTTTTTTTCATACTTTTGGGTGTCTTGCACAGATTAATTTGATTTCCATTATTTCTTATGGGGAAAATTAATTCGACTTACGATAATTTCGTCTTACGATGTGCTCTCAGGAACGGATTAATATCGTAAGTCGGGGGTCCACTGTACTTGTATTAAATTGGTGGAATGTTGAAATTTGCACTGTAAAATTCATCATAATCTCTCAGGTTAAAGGATCTGTCCCAGTTATCAACCTTGAACATTTTAACTTCAGCTGGTTGTACAGAATTCAGGTTTGTTCGTCAACAAAAATTATTCATATAGTGCAGCTTTGACTGCTGTGTATAAGATGATTCTCTTGAAAATGTTTTGCATCACACACTATAGATATTCTTACTGTATAGTCTTCATGTCATGTAGAACACAACCATGAACACCCTGTAATTGCATTTCATGTTGATGCTGAATTAGAAGATTAGGAACTAACTATGGATAATATTTCTTTTCAGAAAGAGGAAATCCGTGAGCCCAAAGTTGAGGCACTAACAGTGCCAGTATCAGGAGCAGTGTTGGGGCCAGCTTCAGGGGGTATTTTGGGAGCAGCAGGCCTTGTGCCTGTAACAGGACAGGTGACAAGTGTAGTAGAGGTGAGCACAACTCCTCGACCAGCCAACACTCCTACCATCAAAACTGAGCCACAGTCTCCTCATCAGTCTCTCCTTCACCAACACCTACTTCATCCAGCGGTAAATACAGCAATCATCAAAACTCATTTTCTGCAAGACATGTAGATACATATTTTAGAATATTACTTAATTTACATGGTAGTATTTTACTGCTTGTACAGGAGGGTTCCATTTTTACGGCTGTTAGGTTCCTGACCTCCGGCGATAAGCGAAAATTGCCGGTAAGTGGAAAAGTGATTTTTTCATCCTTGAACACGTCTAAAATGCCTGATAACATGTTTACGCTGTCATATTATTAACCCTTTCAGGGTCCAGACCCAAAATCTGAGACGTGTCCACAGGACCCAAGAAGTTTCAAAAAAAAATTTTTTTTTTTTTTATATTTTTTCTTATGAAATGGTAGGGAATCTTTTTCTGAAGGTAATAAAATAAAAAAAGTACGAAATTTGATGGAAAATTGATGAAATTATGCTCTCACGAATTTTGATGCATCAGTGATTTTTACACATCGGAGATTTTGCTGACTTTGACTCCCATTTTAGGCAAATTACATTATTCTAGTCGACCAAATTCTTAGCCATTTCGCTAGTATTACTTCTATTTTATTGATTGAGCACAAGAAATCACCAAGTCAACTGTTTCAACTTCCCAGTAAAGTGATCGGAAATTGGTAATTTGGCCAATTTATCGCAAAGTTCAAAATATTCCTATTTCAAAATAGGGTCCAGAATAAACAACCCAGGCATTCCTGGCACTAAACTAACATTTCCTCTGTTCATTAGTTATGCTTTCAGGCTTTACAAATGAATTCCGTTTTGATTTTTTATTAATATCATTAATTTTTATTCAAATAAAAAAAGGGAAGATTTACTCTTATGCAATATTGTAATAATTGTGTAAATAATATCAGCGCATTTGTGAACGCACATAAGACCCATCAGCTGACATACCTGGAGGTTACCTGGAGGTTATTCCGGGGATCAACGCCCCCGCGGCCCGGTCCACGACCAGGCCTCCCGATGGATCAGGGCCTGATCAACTAGGCTGTTACTGCTGGCCGCACGCAGTCCGACGTACGAGCCACAGCCCGGCTGATCCGGCACTGACTTTAGGTATCTGTCCAGCTCTCTCTTGAAGGCAGCCAGGGGTTTATTGGCAATTCCCCTAATGCTTGATGGGAGGCTGTTGAACAGTTTTGGGCCCCGGACACTTATGGTGTTTTCTCTTAGTGTACCAATGGCGCCCCTACTTTTTATTGGCGGCATTTTGCATCGCCTGCCCAGTCTTTTACTTTCGTAGGGAGTGATTTCTGTGTGCAGATTTGGGACCATTCCTTCCAAGATTTTCCAAGTGTAGATTATGATATATCTCTCCCTCCTGCGTTCCAACGAGTACAAGTCAAGTGCTTTCAAGCGTTCCCAGTAGTTAAGGTGCTTGACAGAACTTATACGTGCAGTAAAGGATCTCTGTACACTCTCTAGATCTGCGATTTCACCTGCTTTGTATGGAGATGTTAATGTACAGCAGTATTCCAGCCTAGAGAGAACAAGTGATTTGAAAAGGATCATCATGGGCTTGGCATCTCTCGTTTTGAAAGTTCTCATTATCCATCCTATCATTTTCTTTGCACGTGCGATCGTATGTATTGGATGAGTGATGTCGATTGGTTTACTCCTGAACATCGGCAAAATTTTAACATTTCTGCTACTTTAAGCTCAGTTTCAAGCCATTTTCAGTACTAAACCCAATCAAAATCATCTCTATTTCTGTAATATATTTCCATTCTATCAAATGAGACCAAGAAATCTCAAATACAGCTATAAAAAACATACAAAAAAAAAAAAACTGCAAAGTTGCTGTTTTAATCCAAAATTGGTCTCGTTTTTTTTTTCTCTCATTATGCACTGTGTGCTACAGGATATGTTTCATGTGGTGCACACTTACCACATAGATGTATTCTCTCATATCTAGGCCCAAATTTACCGCTCACAGCTTATCTGAGTGAGCTGAGCTCATGGCGTAGAACTACGGTTTGGACCCAGAACTCAAAGCCGTAGAACTACGGCACGGACCCTGAAAGGGTTAAAGGCTCAATACTGCTAGGCATAAAAAAAGAAAAATACTTAAAATTTGGTGTCAGTTGCCCTTCCCTTACGCAACTGTTGTGCAGAAAAAGCACCGACTAGAATAAGCAATGGCTCAATTGAAAATCAGCGAAAACTGTGCAACACTGAAAAAAGGGTGACTAATAAATGGGGCCCTCCTGTACTTTGTTCTTTGATTGCCTATTTTCCTGGGGCACAGAGGTATGGGATACATTTTGGATTTTTTTCAGTATAATCTCTATTCATGGCATGTATATTTTCTATGGTAGTCACCATTGGTACTCTTTCTTTTTGTATGTAGTTACCAGTTTGTAATTAGCTCTTGGCTCTACCTCTTCACTTTTGGCCTGCTGATAGGATTGTATTGTATATGTGGACTGAAAGTTTCTTAGTTTGCATTATATTTTCTTCTGAAGTTAGTTACAGGTCTTTCTCGCCTTTATGCCAATTTGATTTATACAAATTCACCATTATACCATGTCTAATTTCTGTCGGTATTCTGTACATACAATTTAGTCACCATATATGATCAGTATAGTTCACAAAGCATATAGAAGATTCTTATTACATGTAATTGTTTATGGCCTGATCAGGCTTATTACAGATACCAAGGGACTGGAAATTTTTTATTATTATTAACACATCGACCGTTTCCCACCAAGGCAGGGTGGCCCGAAAAAGAGAAACTTTCATCATCGTTCATTCCATCACTGTCTTGCCAGAGGCATGCTTACACTACAGTTATGAAACTGCAACATTAACACCCCTCCTTCAGAGTGCCGGCACCATACTTCCCATCTCCAGGAATCAAGTCCGGCCTGCCAGTTTCCCTGAATTCCTTCATAAATGTTGCTTTGCTTACACTCCAACAGCACGTCAAGTCCTAAAAACCATTTGTCTCCATTTACTCCTATCTAACACACACGCACGCTTGCTGGAAGTCCAAGCCCCCTGCACACAAAACCTTCTTTACCCCGTCCCTCCAACCTTTCATAGGCCAACCCGTACCCCGCCATCCCTCCACTACAGATTTATACACACTCGAAGTCATTCTATTACATTCCATCCTCTCTACATGTCCAAACTATCTCAATAACCCCTCTTCAGCCCTCTGGATAATAGTTTTGGTAATCCTGCACCTCCTAATCTTCAAAATACAAATTCTCTCCATTATATTCACACCATACATTGCCCTCAGACATGACATCTCCACTGCCACCAGCCTTCTCCCTGTTGCAACATTCACCACCCATGCCTCACACCCATACAAGAGTGTTGGTATAACTATACTCTCATACATTCCCCTCTTTGCTTTCATGGATGAAGTTCTTTGTCTCCACAGCCTCCTCAGTGCACCACTCACCTTTTTCCAATCAATTCTATGATTCACCTCATCTTCCATAGACCCATCTGCTGAGACATCCACTACCAAATATCTGAATACATTCACCTCCTCCATACTCTCTCCCTCCAATCTGATATCCAGTCTTCTGTTACCTAATTTTTTGTTATCCTCATCACCTTACTCTTTCCTATATTCACTTCTTAATTTCCTTCTTTTACATACCTTACCAAACTCATCAACCAACTTCTGCAACTACTCTTCAGAATCTCCCAAAAGCAGTGTCATCAGCAAAGAGCAACTGTGACAAGTCCTACTTTGTGTTAGATTCTTTATCTTTAACCGACACCACCTGCCAACACCTAAGCATTCACTTCTCTTACAACTCCATCTTTAAATATTTTGAACAACCATGGTGACATCACCTATGCTTGTCTAAGGCCTACTTTTACTGGAAAATAATCTCCCTCTCGCCTACATACTCTAACCCGAGCCTCACTATCTCGTAAAGACTCTTCACTGCTTTCAATAATCTACCTCCTGTTGCATACATTTGCAACATCTGCCACATTGCCTCCCTATCCACCCTCTCATACACCTTTTCCAAATACATAAATGCCACAAAAACCTCTTTACCCTTATCTAAATATTATTCGCCTATACGTTTCCCTGCGAATACTTAGTCTACAGACCCCCTACCCTTCCTAAAGCCTCCTTGTTCATCTGCTATCCTGGTTTTGTATAAGTAGGATGTTATTGCCTGGTTTACTTAGTAACAAATTTACATGGAGTAATGAAACTGAAATAATGCTGGGGTGATTGGTAGGAGAGGGAGGAGACCTAAGAGCAGTACTCAACCTGTAATGGGTCATTAAATATAGGTGGATTGACATAGTTACTTGCTTTCTTTTAATACTGGCCTTAGTGTTGGAGCTTCCTAACAGGGAATCATTTTTTCCATGAAAAGACATCCTTTGCTAAATGTCAGTGAGGAAATGATTTGGAGGTGGAATATCTTTGCCATCTGAGGTTACAGCTGGAAGAAACTATTATGCATGTGCCTCTGTTATGACATTCGCTAACTCATTGCCTTTTGACCACCTGTGAAACAATGACCCCCACCATAAAATACATTGGTTCTCATATATGGTCACTAGTTATATTACTGGTAGCGAGTGGTTATGTGGTAATTACTCATTTGTAATCATCTTTTGGGTTTGTGAGGGGATTAGTTGCTACTCAGTTTCTGCCTCGTAACTTTCAATTGACTGCTGTGAATTACCTCTACTGTCATTCAGGTTATTGAACTTCTTTGTGCTATATGACCCCTATGGTTTTAATACTTTCCCTTGCATCAAAGTGTTGGACATTCACTTTCCATTTGTCTGGATAGTTTTCTGGTAAAGATGGTCCATGTCAGCTTTTTCTGTTCCCTAAATTATGTATAGTGACCATATCATTTCTTATTTTGCTTTCTTCCAGGGCAGGAGATTTAGCTAGTTCAGCCTCTCGTCATAACTCCAACTTCTTGGCTGTGCTCTTAGTGTGAATGTGTACATTTTTGAACTGAGAGTTTCACTTATTAGATTAAGGTTCTACAGTGGCACTGTACTCAGTGACTTCATTTTTTTTTCATTTGCATCCTTGTGTTTGCCAGACTAGCACATGCTGATATACCTCTCTCAGGGGATACTCTATAATCTGTCATTAGAGACACATGAACAAGCACTAGAACATTTAATTAGGGATATGTTTTAGTCCTGTGACCACCTTCACTCCAGATATGTGGGATATTAGAAAGATTTATGTAGCCAGAGGTACACATGAGGTGCCTCACTTCATGTGGTAAATGCTTTCTAGGCCCAAGGCACCTACAGTAATATCATTTAGGTCCTCAATATATAATTCTTCATTACAAGAATTTTCATTGCCTTTTGTAAACTGCATTGATCACATAAAACCAATGGAAAAAATTGTTGGATAGAGGTGTAAATTTGCTTAGTAAAATTTTAGTGTCTTAAGATTGTAGTACAATAGTTTTGCAGTGTACCTATGAAAGGTATTTATTACCTTAAATTGCAGGGCCCTGCAACCACAGCCTGTACAACCACCCCAGTTGCTGCTATTGCTACAACTACATCTTCAGTTGCATCTATGACTATGATCACCACCAGTATTGGTCAGCCACCACAACGCCAGCCACCAACTGCTGTTCTTAGTCGTCAGTCATTACCTCCAAATTCACACACACAAGTTCCAGCAACAGTTGTTTCAGGAAGCCCAGCAACTACCATTGTCACTGTTGTACCGTCATCAAAGGTACATGTTTACTTGACCAATGCATTACTTTTGGATCTTGTGCCTATAATAGCTTCTTTATGGAAACAATATATTTTTAGGCAATATATATGAAATATTAGCAAGGTCTGAATATTATTTTTAATGTTTTTTGTGTGTATACTTTGTAAATAAATATAGTACATGCTTAATATCATTTAGTGTGTGTAATTGCCTATTATTAAGTCAAGTGAGTGTAAAATGGAAGCTTGTAATTGTTTTACATAATGGTAGGACTGCTGATGTCTTTTTTGTCTCATAAACATGCAAGATTTCAGGTACATCTTGCTACTTCTACTTACTTAGGCCACACTACACATGTATGTACAAGCATATATATACACACCCCTCTGGGTTTTCTATTTTCCTACTAGTTCTTGTTCTTGTATATTTCCTCTTATCTCCATGGGGAAGTGGAACGAAATTCTTTCTCCATAAGCCATGCTTGTTGTAAGAGGAGACTAAAATGCCAGGAGCAAGGGGCTAGTAGCTCCTTCTCCTGTATGTTACTAAAATTTAAAAGAAACTTTTTGTTTTCTTTTTTGGGCCACCCTGCTTCGGTGGGATATGGCCGGTTTGTTAAAAGAAGAAAGGATTGCCTATTAGCCTGTTACTGATATCCCTGTTTGTGTGGGTGGGAGGCCACAGAAAGTTGGGAAGTAATTGACAGGTCATAAATACAATATTATATTTTGCTGTTAGGGATAACCATTATTATTAATAGCAATGTATTATATAGATGTCTCCTTTGTCATTATTTAGAAAAGACTAGTCTGTTACACTTTATGTAGTGATTTATGCAGTTTTTTACTGATGTGAATGATTGCAATTCTTTTGTTTTTGTTTACAGGGAGGTGTTGATTCCTTACCATCAGTATTTGAGGCATTAACTGCTACTGGTCGATTTGGAGCTAAGGTGGAGGTCGAGCCTGAACCTCGTGTTCCATCCCCTGAAACTACCATAGAATATGTGGATGATAACAAGAATCACACGTGAGTTTTAGTAAACGTTGTTTATTCATTACCAGTTATCAGTTTGTTCTCTATAGACAGAGATTTTTATATCAAGTGATATGAAGGAGTCTTAATTTTACTTACTGTTAAATTGAGAGAGTACATACAGTTAAACCTTTACATTTGCTGTGTGCTAGGTTCCTGGCCATCCTGTGACTATTGCAAAATATGTAAAAGTACTCTTGAATACCTGAAGTAGCAGAATTTCCCTCATCCCTCTCCCTTTTTCCCCATACTTCCAAAAGGCAAAACAAATTCCAAGTCTAGACTTGATACCAAAATACATGAGCACACAAATTATCATGCTCCAAAAATCCCTCTATTTGACCTAAAAAGAAAAATGAGAATTTCCAAAATTCAGAATTTCTTATTGAATTAATGTTGCCTGAATCTAAAAAGATATTCTTGGCATATTTTTTGCTAAAACGTATAGGCATACTAGATGCATCAAATGATCATATATAAAAAAGACAAAATCAAGGATTTATTTTTTTCAACAAACCAGCCATATCCCACTGAGGCAGGGCGACCTAAAAAGAAAAACGAAAGTAAAGGAAAATTGAACTTATAAAAAACATATAAGTGAACAGTATTTAGATAAGGCTAAAGAGGTCTTTGTGGCATTTATGGATTTGGAAAAGGCATATGACAGGGTGGATAGGGGGCAATGTGGCAGATGTTGCAGGTGTATGGTGTAGGAGGTAGGTTACTGAAAGCAGTGAAGAGTTTTTACAAGGATAGTGAGGCTCAAGTTAGAGTATGTAGGAAAGAGGGAAATTATTTCCCAGTAAAAGTAAGCTTAAGACAAGGATGTGTGATGTCACCGTGGTTGTTTAATATATTTATAGATGGGGTTGTAAGAGAAGTAAATGCGAGGGTTTTGGCAAGAGGCGTGGAGTTAAAAGATAAAGAATCACACAAAGTGGGAGTTGTCACAGTTGCTCTTTACTGATGACACTGTGCTCTTGGGAGATTCTGAAGAGAAGTTGCAGAGATTGGTGGATGAATTTGGTAGGGTATGCAAAAGAAGAAAATTAAAAGTGAATACAGGAAAGAGTAAGGTTATGAGGATAAAAAGATTAGGTGATGAAAGATTGGATATCAGATTGGAGGGAGAGAGTATGGAGGAGGTGAATGTATTCAGATATTTGGGAGTGGACGTGTCAGCGGATGGGTCTATGAAAGATGAGGTGAATCATAGAATTGATGAGGGGAAAAGGGTGAGTGGTGCACTTAGGAGTCTGTGGAGACAAAGAACTTTGTCCTTGGAGGCAAAGAGGGGAATGTATGAGAGTATAGTTTTACCAACACTCTTATATGGGTGTGAAGCATGGGTAATGAATGTTGCAGCGAGGAGAAGGCTGGAGGCAGTGGAGATGTCATGTCTGAGGGCAATGTGTGGTGTGAATATAATGCAGAGAATTCATAGTTTGGAAGTTAGGAGGAGGTGCGGGATTACCAAAACTGTTGTCCAGAGGGCTGATGAAGGGTTGTTGAGGTGGTTTGGACATGTAGAGAGAATGGAGCGAAACAGAGTGACTTCAAGAGTGTATCAGTCTGTAGTGGAAGGAAGGCGAGGTAGGGGTCGGCCTAGGAAAGGTTGGAGGGAGGGGGTAAAGGAGGTTTTGTGTGCGAGGGGCTTGGACTTCCAGCAGGCATGCGTGAGCGTGTTTGATAGGAGTGAATGGAGGCAAATAGTTTTTAATATTTGGCGTGCTGTTGGAGTGTGAGCAAAGTAACATTTATGAAGGGGTTCAGGGAAACCGGCAGGCCGGACTTGAGCCCTGGAGATGGGAAGTACAGTGCCTGCACTCTGAAGGAGGGGTGTTAATGTTGCAGTTTAAAAACTGTAGTGTAAAGCACCCTTCTGGCAAGACAGTGATGGAGTGAATGATGGTGAAAGTTTTTCTTTTTCGGGCCACCCTGCCTTGTTGGGAATCGGCCAGTGTGATGATGATAAAAAAAAATATTCAATTATAAAGCCTGCAGTTAACACCTATATTCTTGCAGTGGTCTTGTTACCCCTTTCACTGTCGCGTGAATTTTTTATTGCTGTTAGGGTCACTCACGTGGATTTAATTTTAAGCAGTGTTTGATTTTTTTTACTGTACATCACTAATCAACTTTAATCATCTGTCAGAACACTGGTTTCAGCATTGCCAGCATCTAAACACTTGTACTAATGTTACCAGTATCTGAATGCCAGTAACAAATTTGTTTCTGACACTTCTGTGATGATTCCAAATGTTAATATTGATCTAAGTATTTTAAGTTTTCTCCATGGGGAAGTGGAACAGAATTCTTCCTCCGTAAGCCATGCGTGTTGTAAGAGGCGACTAAAATGCCGGGAGCAAGGGGCTAGTAACCCCTTCTCCTGTATAAATTACTAAATTTACGAGAAACTTTCGTTTTTCTTTTTTGGCCACCCTGCCTTGGTGGGATACGGCCGGTGTGTTGAAAGAAAGATTTTAAGTTTTACATGTAGTGTTTTACTTTGAATATGTAAAATGCCTTTTGATATGTTGATATTGGGCTTGTTTAGTCCCTTTGGTCTTGAAACCCTTGTATCACATGTAAACAGTTTTTTCTAACTGTATCTTCTTAAATATTCAAGAAAAGAACTAGTTCATGGGATGCTACACCTTCAGAGAATAGTCTTGTTATTGGTACTGATAGAAGGTTTGTAGATAGCAACCATCCAGGGAAGTACATCTATCCTGACAATTGAGTGTGAAATGAAAACCTGTAATTTTAAATCCACTCTGGCAGGATTGATGAACTTTTCTTAGTCTCATGAACATATAAGATGACAGGTAAATCTTGCAAAGTTCTACTTGTATTCAATTTACACACCTTTGTTTTTGTGTGCATCTTAATAGTTCTTTGAGTGGCTATCACACAGATCTATATTATTAATGACGGTTCCTCACATAGATCTACATTTTGATCACAGCTCCCTCAAATTAGTTGAGTGGTAAATTTTGGCCTAGATGTTGGATATGATGGGAAATAATGATTTTGAGGTGTTTTTGTGGTTTATTGGCTGTTTCTAGGTATCATATGATAGATTGAAAGATATACTGCTGAAGTAGCTTGAAGTTGGGTCCAAATTAGCAAAAATATTTTATTTTTTCCCGAGGATGGGTAAAGCCTTCTCCCCCATCTCCCGGTCTGTTTTGTGGGTTTTCATTAGGTCAGATTAGATTATTGGGGTGCCATAAACCATGACCAATCTTCTTTTTTCTCTCTCTTTCTCCTTTTTTTTTTTTTTTTTTTTTAGAAATTAGGTAAATCTCCTTAAGTGCAATACAGGAGAGGCCTGGTATGTGACTAATGAATAAAGGACATGTTTTAGTGCCCAGAATGTCTGCATTGTTTATTTTGGACTACTATTAAATTGGGATTTTTTTAATTTTGTGAAAAACTGACCAAATTATTGACATCTGTGCACTTTATAGAGTAGTTCTAATGCTAATTGAACAAGCTCAAATGAAAGAACAGGAAGTATACTAGTGAAATAGCTAAGAATTTAATTTAAAGGAGCATTGAAATTGCCTTAAAAATAGTACTCAAAGTGGGCAAATGAATGACCCGTAAATTGCACCCAGACTGCTAACCTTGTACCTACATAATTCAGTCATAAATTTTGCACATTTTGTGTCTTTCATGAAAATATTTTCTACCATTTCAGAAGAATTTTTTTTTACATGTAACACTGAGAGCAATATTAATTTCAAGGGGTCTATAACAATGAAAGGTTTAATCATATAACACACTATTTCCTTAATTTACTTCCTAACACTGGTTACCTTAATGCAGTATTGGGGGTTTGATTGGGTTGTGGCTGGTGATAGGGGCCCTCTCTTTTCTAGGAGGGGTACTATTCTTGTCACAGGATGCTTGTCTAAAAACCTTACCTCTTTTGGTATATATGGTGGAGAAATTTCCCTTTTTATCTAAATTTGCTGACATGGAATGAAATTATGGATATACATAGAGTGCAGAATTTGAAAAACACTTTGAATAGTTTTAGTAGCTTTGTGATTGATTTTTGTACCATGAGAAAATTAGTCACTACAGAAGCAGGTTTATTGATGTTAGAAATGGAATATTTTTAAAGAGATGAATAACCAAGCGAATGCAGTGTTTTGTAACTAAATTAAATAAAATTATTCAATTTTAGCAGGAAAATATGAAGATTAAATTTTTTCTTTCAGTGTATATATTGTGAACTCAACAAATGCTGCTTGTCAGAAGTCACTTGATACCATTTGTGAGGCTATACGTCATCTAGAGGGTGACCACATGTTCCAAACTGAGGATCAGCAGCCACGTATTGAAGAGGAGATAATTACAGAAGAAACGCTAACTATTGAAGACCACACTGGCCTTGGAGAAGCACAGGTTCCAGTAACTCTTGGAGGTCAAGTAACTCTTGGAAGTGGACAAGTGACTCTTGCAGGGGAGAATGAACCAATTACTCTGCACATGGTTGGAGAACCTCAAGAAGTTCCTCTTGAACTAACCACAACACATCGTCCCACTCAGCACTTGTCTAACCTCTCAAACACTAGTAGACTACCCCATCACTCTACTATTAATCTCACTGCCAACAGTCGTTTGGGTCCTCATCCTGTCACTAATGTGTCTACTCTATCGAGCAGCACGAGGATTCCTCAGCAGTCACCAAATTATACTACAACAAGCATTGAAGCAGTGCCTATTTCCAGTATTTCTACCACATCTGCTTCCCTCTCCTCCCCCTCATCAAATTTGCTGCATGCAACAAGGCCAGGTGTCATTGTGGTGAAACATCCATAAAATTATTATTTAAGACCTTTTATGTGGGTCACCTGTGTTAATACGTTAAGGAATTAGATAGTACTACTGGCAACTGAAAGTCTTGAAATAAAGTACTTTGTGTTTTCTTGCATAAGTTTATGGACTCGGTTCTTGTGCTAGACTTGTGGATGGCATCTTCAATTTGCTGAGACACTTAAGCTGTGCGGCAAAAAAAAAAAAATAAAAAATAATAAAAAAAAATAAAGATAGTGTTATTTCACTGAATGGCATTCTAGAATGAGTGGTCAGGTATTGAAACCTGAATTGTAAAACCTGTACATAGCATATTTTGGTGTATAAAATGTAGGTTAAGTGATTGGAGATCTGACAAGTCACCAGATGCACCAATAGTGACTGGCAGAATCTCATGTGTCATCTGCTTGATTGTTCTGCTTTGATGGAAATTGTTGCCACATTTATATGTAGTTTTTGGGCAGGGCTTTCACTACGAACTATACAGTTGCAATCTAAACACATAAGTAAAGAAGAGCTTTGGGTATAATGAGCGCTAGGTCTTCTGCTTTTGGTTTACATTGGCAAAAACAGACTGTACATCTGAAGATGAATTCTCAAATAAAATTTTGGGGCATAGCTGTTCTGGGTGTATGGCATAAAGGAATATCTGACTTAGAATTAGAGGTGAATAAAAATATTTGTTAGAATAGCACATGTGATTTTAAGTTAGGGCAGAGGCTTTGTGATTGGTAAATTGTTGCTGGAGCCATAGCATGGATCCATGATTATAATTTTTTTTTAAGTATTAATCAGTTTTCAGATTTTTAATGGGGAAAATGGTATTTCAAAGAAAGTTTTGAGTTGTAGTAATTGTTCAGTAAACTGTATAATAGTTTAGTTGCAGTTGAAAAATTTACATACTGGCAATAGGAAGATGTTCTATTTTACATCACAGATACATTGTTTATTGAGGCATTTTATATATTTTAGTTTATACTTGCCTGACATTGCTTTATTTGGGATTATTATTATTTACCCAGGATTAAAAGGGTAACTATAATGAGTCTTAAATAATGGAAGGGGATGCAGTTGTCAATCACCAAGTAGTTCTTTATTCTTTACATAATTTCATTGACATGCTTATGTAATACTTTCAATATTAGACATGGTATTAGCCTGTGTTTCTTTAGGGTATGCTTGTTAAGGCATTTGCTTTCAAGGTATTATGTAAATTTGAAAAAGGACACCTTCAAAACTGCATAAAATTCTGGTGCGTTAAAGCAAAGACACTTCATTGCAAAGACACTTTTTATAATGCCTATAAAATATTTTAAAACAAAATTTAAGTGGTATTATTCTTTTGATGTATACATTAAGAATGTTGATATTTTTGTTTTTTATAAGTATAAATCATGGGTTGCAAATAAGAATACTTTTGATTTTGTGGTCAGATCTTTTTTGGCACATTGGGGAATGTTTTAAGATTTCCCTTCAAATTTATCTTTCCTTGATAAACATTGAAACTAAAAAGATTTGCAATGTCGTTTAATTTCATTATACAAAAAAAAAAATTGCTTTGAATATACTGGTTGTAATAAATTGAAGCTACTGCCCAGATACTACATACTATTAATGCCAAGGTGTTTTTGTCTGACAGTGCTGTTTTGGCCCAGTGTGTATTGTCTGACACAGGACATCTATGGCCCAGTATGTACTGAATTAAATAATGCTCTCAAATTTAAATGGACAATCCCAGCCTACAATTGTCTAAAGTAACTTAAAAAATGTGAGTCATTGTGTCAATGTGATTCTAATGTACCTGGGTAGAGGATGCATGGTTGGAAGTTTACTCCAAAAATTTAAAATTTTAGGCACTTGCTTCCTTTTCATTTCCTAAGTTGTGAAATGAAAAAAAGTTGGCCATAACAATCGGTGTTAATGTCGGTTATGATCGTGCTAGAGCCCTAGTCTAACCCCAGTGTTACAGTGTATTAAAGTGGGATATTGGATATGAATACTGGAACACATTTGATGTTCCTGATAAATTAAATTAATTTACATTTAAAATGTTTAGGAATAATTGTCTACATTGTTATGGAAGACATAGATTACCAGTGATAGTTTCTCACTGCATGTTCAAAAATCTACCAACCCATATGTATCTATCAAAAGAGGAATTGGTAATGAAATAATGTACATATGATGTGTTTACATTTGTTAGTACGTATATAGCTTAATTGATTTTTCCCCCTAATTTTTGTAGATACAAATTGGAATAATTTAACAGTACAAGGCAGCTACATGCAAGTACATTGTACCATTTTTTTTTTTTTTGCTTTGGCAACCATAAGTGCAGTAATTAAAAAAAATCAATGCAGGCAGGATAAGTTTGAAATTTTTTAGTTTCATGTCTTGGTCAGTCTTGCCTAAATTTTACTAAAATGTAAGAATGGGTACATTTGCTTGTCCAGGGGAAATTATTTAAGTGCCAGTTACATAAAATAAGGTTTGCTTCTGTGGAGCATTACATATTAGTTAAAAACATATGTAAAACAAAAAAAAAAATCAATGTACAGGGCAAAATTAGCATTAGCTATTACTGAGGGAGGGGCTTAAGACATCTCCAGGTTAGGAATTACATTAATTGATATGAGAATGTTCCCATCCCTTTTATTGGTATTTACAACATTTTAAGCTCAGCTGGCTGAGTTCCTACCTTGGCCTGTTTGTACACCATTGTTTTGATAATAAATTATCAAATTGGAAATTGGTGTGGATGTATCTTGAGGTGTATTTGCACAGATTTACTCATGTGATTTTGATACATTTTTTAATTAAGAGAAAATCACTCAGCTGAGCTTCTGGCTGTCTTGGGCCGCTTGTTTAGGGGATAGGGTATATATTTAATGACTTTTTATTTACAAGCCTTTCAGTCTTGGCAAGTATATAACTTACTGGGAGGCTTCAGCATTTGCTCAAGTAGGGTACTTTAGGACCAATTCTGTTTTGGCATGGGAGGTTACCTTAATGGGTATGTCAGTATTTTGAATTAAGAGGGATTTGTAGCAGTAAGGATGATTATGCTAAATGTAAGTGTTGGCTTGGTCTGTAGGTTTGAAATTTGCTAAATGTCTTATCTCTTGTGCCAGAAAAGAATTTTGTCTTACCTCATAACAGTTTTGGAAGCAGTCCATGGTGTTTTAAGCACCTAGTAGCAGCATAGGGTTGAGGTTTTGCAGCTTGGGTGATGGAGTGGCAATTTGAAATATTTAATCTTAAGTGTTGTATGAAATTTCATATTCAGTGTTAATGTTGACATTTTATAGTGTAAACTAGTACAGAAGGCAAGGCCAGTATACATTTGTATCCCAAACTCAATTTTTATTTCAATTTGTTTCCTTTTCCTCCATATTCATACTGCCAGCCCCTTGCATATGCTGCTATTTGCTGCTTGGTGTGGCTTTCATATTTTCTTATTCTTATTGAACATTTGTAATTAACAATGTTGGGTACAGTTTTACTGTAACAATTCCCATATTGCACATTCATGTGTAAGCATAATCTGTGTATTGCTGAATTTTGGGAATCACAGTTTTAACATCGCAGTTAGGCTTTCTGAATGCATTGATTGTGGGACAAGTGGGTGTGCAAGTATTAGAGAGCTGGCAGAGCACATGTTCAAGTGAGAGTATTTGATTTTTTTTTTTTTCGAGGAAGAGGCAATGGAGCCGACATAGGTCTTATGATAATAAGGACAGCAAATTCTGATCTTGCAGATGTTAAGAGTTCAGAAACAAATTTTAGCATATAGTTATTCCTTAGATTAAACTAGGGTTTTGAGTCTGTCTTAAATACCCATCATTAATTTTAGAAGAAAAATAACAAGTCAGAATAGAATCAGCCAATTAACCTCTGCTATTTGAATCTCAAAAGAAATGACTCTCTGAAGAGAGAGGGGGGTTTGGCCATTGCTAACTAAATACATTTTAATTAGTAGCAACTTGCACTTGTCAGTGCAAGGTATTTGAAAGTACAAATATTTATTACTAGCCTCCAGAATTTTGATGTGTTGCTTCCCCTTGGATGTCCATATTTTCTCCCAAAAAGCTGAAAACTGCCAATAAATTTTAAGGAGTAGAATAATTTCTTGGTGTCTGATAAAATTTTGATTTTTTAAGTTTTTGGGAAAATGTAGACTTCCACTGGAATGAAACGTATTGGTCCAATACTCTCACTGTCATGTAAACATTGTGTATACATGGTGTTATTTCTAGTGATGGTAAACCACAGTGCACATGGTTGAGTGCTAATGATGTTTTAGTAGCTATGCTCCCACATGTATATGCAGGTCATTACTGCAGTGATAAAAAATTCCCATCATATTGAGATTCCACATATATGTAGGTGATCTGTGCAGTGACAAGAACTCAACATTTTGTGCTGACAAATTTGTACATAATTAGGTCAGATTACTGCAGTGATGTTACCCAGTGCTTTTGCCACCACTTGTGTCTGCAGGATAACCCCCTTAAAACCAAAGATTTGTACTTTCTGTTGCCCTGTCAGTTTCGTGTTTTCATTGATACTTGTACATTTGAGTTAAGTCTGAACCTCGCAAAAACTCCAAACCCAAACTTTTCCTAGCAGGCATCTGCTTTAATTTTTTTTTCTTTTCTTCACAAATATTATATAACTGGAGATATAATATGGAAAAATTATTTGACGTTTGTTTATATTATCCTTGTTAAGGTTGAACAGAAACATGTACAGCTACCCTGGGGTCCTATTTCACAAATACAAAACCAAGGTTGTTGTATTTAAAATTGGCATCTCAAAATTGGTTAACACTCTTTCAAATGTGAACCAAAACCTTTGTTAGTCAGTTATTACATTCATGGGGGGAAATGTTAACCTTATATGGGACATAAAGCACTTAAGGTAATTAGGTATGATCCAAGGAAGGGGAGAGCAGGTCCAATTCCTTGGTCAGAGCACCTCTCCGTGACATCAAAGGAACCTCCCTCAAGGGGATAGCACATCTAAGGTAGGTTGTAAGAGGAAAGCCCCCTCAGGGGAGGTTCCTTGATGGTAGTGCTCATCTTTCCTGGGGAGCTGATCAAACTGCTTCGCCTACATTCAGCCCTCATTTTATCGAAACTAGATTATGGTGACCAGAATTATTTAGCTGCCTCTCCTGCTACTCTCTAGCCTTAACCCCATCCATCACCAAGGATTACATTTATGCCTTGGTGCTTTTCGCTCTATCCCTGTTGAGAGCCTCTATGCAGAAGCGAATGTTCCATCCTTGTCTGATCACCGTGATGCCCATTGCCTTCACTACTATGTATGCTCTCACGATTTTCAGTTACCACCTTTATATGTTCATGTAGCATCTCACTTTTCCCTACCCCCCTGGGAAGTTCCAGCTGTTCGGATCTGTTCTTTCTCACTCCCTTGCTCGAAAGCCCAACTGCCTATGGTGGCTTCCCGCTCTCTTTTTCTTGATCACTTCCACACTCATTCTCATGCCATCGCTGTGTACACAGATGGCTCAAAGTCTTCAGACGGCGTCGGATTCGCAGCAGTGTTTCCGGACAGCGTCATGCGAGGGCATTTACTATCTTCGGCTAGCATTTTTACTGCTGAATTGTATGCCATTCTTGCAGCACGTATTCGTATCGCATCTATGCCTGTGTCATCATTTGTGGTTGTCTCAGACTCCCTTAGTGCTCTACAGGCTATACGAAAATTTGATACATCTCACCCCCTAGTTCTCCGTATCCAACTTTGGCTATGCCGTATCTCTACGAAGCATAAAGATATTTTTTGTTGGGTCCCTGGTCATGTCGACGTACAGGGCAATGAACAGGCAGACACTGCTGCGCGGTCAGCAGTACATGACCTACCAATTTCCTATAGAGGTGTTCCATTTCTGGACTATTTTGCTGCAATAGCTACCCACATTCACGCCCGTTGGCAACAACGTTGGTCAACTCTGCTTGGTAACAAACTTCATTCTATTAAACCGAGCATAGGTTACTGGCCGTCTTCTTGTCATCAGTGCCGTGGTTGGGAGACCACTCTCTCCCGTCTTCGCATTGGCCACACTCATCTTACTCACAGGTATCTCATGGAGAGGCACCCTGTACCTCTCTGTGAGCAGTGTCAAGTTCCTGTATCGATTAGCCACACTCTGTTAGATTGCCCTATCAACAAGCACGCAGAATTTACCTCCAACGCCATCTTCGTTCTACTACTCTCTCTCTCTACCTTCCCTTCTTGCTGATGGACCCTCCTTTAATCCTGACTCTCATTGACTTCTTGATGACTGATTTACTCCACAAACTCTGATGATGATACCTTACACACTCCCCTCAGCCCTTTCTACCTCAATCTCTTGCTGCTCTACCCTTTCACCATCCACTGCCCTGCTGTTCTCCGTAACCTATTACTCATCCATCTCCCTTTTGCCACCCGATACCCTCGCTTCCTTCCTGCCCTGCAGCGCTGTATAGTCCTTGTGGCTTAGCGCTTCTTTTTGATAATAATAATAATAATGCTAGTGAGGGGCTCTTGATCTAGGGAATTGGATCTATGCTCTAGTTCCCTGAATTAAGCCTAAATACCTTCAATCCCCCCCCCCACATGCACTGTATAATCCTATGGATTTAGTACTCCCCCCATAGTTATAATGTAAGAGGAAAGTAAGTTTTCCCAGGGGTTCTTGAACTTAGGAATTGTACTTCTTCTCTTTCCTTGGATTGATTATTATAAGTGCTAAACCTATAAGGGTCATGTAGGGCAGGGGTATTGGGTAGCAAGAGGGGGAGGGATTATTAGTTCATAGTGCAGTGGGGGCTTGTAGATTATTATTATCAAAAAGAAGTGCTAAGCCACAGGGAGGGGGGTAGAGGGTAGTAAGAGATTGAGGTAGAAAAGAGATGAGGCATGCTAGAGGCATAATCATCTGAGTTGGTGCAGTAAATTAGTTACTGTCAAAAAGTCAACGAGAGAGTGGATTACAGGTGGGTCCATCAGGAAGAAGGGAAGGTAAAGTAAGAGCAGTGGAGTGGTGGTGATGGAGGTAAATTCTGCATGCTCATTGACAGAGTGGGCAGTCCAAAAGAATCTGGCTTAACAAACTGGAACAGGGCACCTCTCCATCAGGTACCCATAAGACGAGTGTGGCCAATGCAGACTGGAGAGAGCAGTCCCCCAACCTCGACATAAGATGGCAGCCAGAAACCTATTTATACTTCTTGGTTTAATAGAATGTAATTTATGTAGCAATCAGACCAACAATCAAGGGGGAAGTGCTAAACCCATAGGATTATACAATACTGGGGGGGGGATGTGGAAGATATTCAGGCTTAATTCAGGGAACTGGAGCACAGATCCAATTCCCTAGATCAAAAGCCCCTCACCAGCATCGAAGAACCTTCCTTGAGGGGTTCCTTGGATTGAACCTGATTGCCCTCTATTCTCCAGACAGCTGTGCACCCCTATTGGGTGTACATTGATACTGTTCCTCATTGTTTTGACTTTTTGACCCCTATGGGTTTAGCATTTCCCCATAAATATATTTCTCAGCCTTGGAGCTAAGGTCTCAACCAAGACATTTAAATTATTACATTCATACAACGAATAGGGGTCAAGTAGTGCCTGGGGAAATGGGAGGTATTTAGGTTTAATCCAAGGAAGGTGAAATGATATGGGTGAAATTTCTGTTAAATTAAAGAATTTAATTATTACCTTTATTACATCTGCTGTTCATTATTATAATAAAAAAGAAGCGCTAAACCACAAGGGCTATACAGCGCTGCAGGGCAGGAAGGAAGCGAGGGTATCAGGTGGCAAAAGGGAGATGGAGGAGTAATAGGTTACGAAGAACAGCAGGGCAGTGGATGGTGACCTCTTCAAGGGGGGGGGCTCCTTGGCGTGGTGAAGAGGCTCTTGGTCTGAGGAATTAGACGCTGTCGGTCTACTTCCTCAGACCGAACCTAAATACCCCCCAATCCCCCGTTCCCTATCCCATCCCCTTTTTCCTTTCCTCCTCCTCCTCCTCCTCCCCACCCCTCCCTTTTGCCCTTCCTTTTTGGCCTTTGGTTTTTTTTTTTTTTTTTTCCCAACAGGCACGCTAGTTCCTAGGTAGGGGAAAGGCTACCGGGGTCCATCCCATTCCGTTGAAGTTCTTGGCGGTGGCGTAGTTTGCCGTGGAATCTGGATTGCCTGGGGATGTCCTGATCCCTCTCCGGTATCCCGGAGGGTGGCTTTGGGTGTCTCTCGGGCGAGGGGTGTATCTCTGGAAGCCACCTTTCGGATTCCGGGGGTGGTGGCCGAAGGAGGTATGCTTTGTGGCGGATTTTTGGCCGCCCTCTCTTTTGTCCACCGAGGTAGCTCGGCAGATGTGAGGTTGCTATCCCGGATTGCCGGTTTACTGGCATGATGGGTAGGGTATGGCACGGGTTCCATGCTGCATCTGCGCTACTTGCGGTGCTGAGGTCCTCTTGGGCGCGGAGGGAGATTTCTGGCCCTTTCATTCCTCCTAGGAACTATCCCTCCCCGGTCCCCCCTTTTTTTATTCTTTTTCTTTTTTTCTTTCTTTTTTTTTCTTAAAAACAAAAAGAAAGAAGTAACCTAACCATAGCAGCCCTAGTCCATGAACCTGCTACCCCCGGGCCCCTTCTTGATACCGCACCCTGTTCTGACCCCGCCTCGTCTTTGGACCACTCTTCGGACACTCCTCATGCCTCTGTACCTCTTGCCGGTGCTATTTCCTCACCCGCTTCAGGTACTGAGGCCTCAACTGACTCCTTCGATTTATCTGACCTTCGCTCTCCTCTGACTATGTTTCCGTCCTCTCCCTCTACGGTGCGGCAATTTTCGAATCGCCGGCCCGTTCCATGTCGGACCAACTCTGGTCCCACGCCTAAACGCCAACGACAATTACCTGCTGATGATACTTCTCCACCTTCTCGTTCTTCTCAGAAAAGATCGACACGTCCTTCACTACCTTTCCACGCTCAGTTTCAGACTGCACAATGGACTAAATTCTTCACTTTACGACCGACTTCCTCTACTGCCTATCTTTTTGACCACAGTATTGGCAAGGCACTCCTACGCCATGTTGGTAAAGATATTTCTTTTCATGCTCTTAAGAGCGGTATGCGCATCGTCACCGTACAGAATGCTACCCAGGCTCATGAGCTTTCTCGTCTTTCCCATATCGATACTGTTCCTGTAACTATTGAAAAGCATCATTCCCTCAATTCTTGTAGTGGTACCGTCATTCTGCCCCATACCATAGTTCAACAAAATTTCCAGACATGTGGCACTGACATTCTTGAACAGCTGGAACTCCAAGATCTCCCAATCCTCAAGGTAGACACGTACGTTCTTCCTGCCCGCGGTCATAGACGATACCCTAGCAATGTGGCTCGTTTAACTTTTGACAGCCGTAAAACTCCATCCTCAGTTTATGTAGCAGGACATCGGTTACAAGTTCGAAAGGTGATCCCTACACCGCAACAGTGTAGAAATTGCTGGCGATTTGGCCATCCAGCAAAATATTGCAGATCTATCGCCGAATGCCCAGTCTGTGGTGCCGATGACCATTCTAATATGTCTTGCAATCAACCTCCTCTTGCCTTAATTGTCATGAGGCTCACCTTCGTACTCTCGCCGTTGTCAAGTCTACTTAAACGAGCGGGAAATCCGTTACCT